GGTTGTGTGTGTGCGGGGGGCAAGGAGTATATGGGAACTCTCTGTACTTTCTGCTCAGTGTTGCTGTGAACCTAAAACTGCATTTACAAAATAGTCTTAAAAAAAAAGGGGTGAAGGTCTACCAGGTGTGGTGTGGGGGGGATAGAGGTAGGAGTGTCAGTGTGTTCAGGGGATAAGAGGCAGCCTGGCTGTGAGAAAGGGTTTCTGTTGGGACAAAGGGATATGTGACTGGAAAAGCAGGTTGGGGCCACTGCAGATATGCAGGCACTCACCCTGGTGATGCTTGTACCGAGACACAGCTTGGCAAGCTGCATGAGGTGACATGTCTCCTAAATTAACCTAAATGCACAGGTGTTTATTTCCATGGACTGATAAACTTTGAGCAATCTATGAAGCATCAAGATAACTGATGAAATTATATCAGTTCATTAGCCTTGAGGTATCCTTTTTTTTTTTTTAATTTTATTTATTTATTTACTTTTTTCCCCCAAAGCCCCAGTACATAGTTGTATGTCATAGCTGCACATCCTTCTGGTTGCTGTATGTGGGACGCGGCCTAAGCATGGCCGGAGAAGTGGTGTGTCGGTGCATGCCCGGGATCCGAACCCGGGCCGCCAGCAGCGGAGCGCGCGCACTTAACCGCTAAGCCACGGAGCCGGCCCCTGAGGTGTCCTTTTAATTAAGAAAATGTGAATTATATGTTCACATGCATGTAATTCAGCTTCTGAAACAATTCTTTGATCCAAGTAAGGTATTTTCTGTGCTTCGTGGTTTCACAAATCCCAGTGAGTGGCATCAAAGGCTTGCTTCGTTAGGCAGTCATACCCCTTACACTCAGGAGGAAAATCTTGAGCTTGGAAGCGAAAGCTGTGTAATCCCTTAAGGGGGATGAGGTTTACTAGTTTGGAGGAAAGTTTTTGATTGGAACAAGCACTAATGGCCAGATCTTCAGAGGAGAGTCAGCACCAGGCACTCATGGGCTCAGAAGGAACCTTGGTGATGATTGAGTCCTGCTCCTAGTGGTGGCCACATGGCCTGGGCTATCTAGATAGGGTATCACCTGCTGGTTGTAAGGTCCCTTGCTTGCTAGTTCCAACCAACGGTGCCTTAATCCCTTGAAACCTTGTGAGTTGGCCAGCAGGAATAGTATCTTACTCAGGATTCCTCATTTTATTCTCACTGTTACTAAATTGGGTGCAAATGTGTCAAATGTATGTTTTTTTTTTTTTTTTTTTTTAAGAAGAGGATTAGGTTGGGGCCGGCCCTGTGGCTTGGTGGTTAAGTGCGCGCGCTGCGATGCTGGTGGCCCGGGTTCGGATCCCGGGTGCGCATCAAGGCACCGCTTCTCCGTTCATCCTGAGGCCGAGTCCCACATACAGCAACTAGAAGGATGT